GTGTTAAGCTCTTTCCTTGAAACCTGGTGACTCTTTTGAAAGTTCGTGGGGTAAACAACAGCCCCTGCAGAGTGGTTCCCATCAGCCGGGCCATACTGCGCCCTTAGTCCCCTAACGCCCAGTGCTCACTTCACCCAAGAGCAGGTGGCACCCCAGAGGCCCTGGAAGTCAGGAAGAGCCCCTGTAGGAGGAGAGCTGCTCTGGAAGCGTCTGTTTTGTTATGGAGCAGGAAGCACAGGAGAGCAGCGGGGTTCTTTTAAAGGTTTTGACAACATCTCTTGCTCTCGCAGAATAAATGGGATGCCCGAAGTACAGGACATGAAGCTCATCACTCCCGTGCGACGATCAGCCAGGATCGAGCGTGCCATCTCCCGCTACCCAGAGATGCTGCAGGACCATGACCTGGTGGTGGCTTCTCTGGACGAGCTGCTGGACGTGGAAGAAACAGAGTGCTTTATATTCCGTAAAAATGAGGCTTTGCCTGTGACATTAGGGTTCGAGATGCTTGACTCATAATTTCTTGACTTTTTTTAAAAAAAGGTATGTCAGAACCTCCATGAGATAAGAAATGTCCTTGTCCAGGTGACCTGAAAAAAATGTATGATGGTGAGACATCATGATGGTGCAGATCGTGGCCTCTTGAGCCTGGAGTAGCACCTGCCTTACTCTCAACTTCATATCCCCCAGGAAGGTCTGGGGTGTTAGATGCTCTGAAGCACGTGAGTTTTAACTCTATTTGCCACCATTTTGCAGCATACATAAGGTTCACAATGTTGAATGCTGGTTACTCTACAAGTGTTGAGAGCCATAGCCAGAATCGGAATGGCCCCTGGCATTTTGCCAGAAGTAATGGTTGCAGGCGAGCCATTAAGATGATACTGGATTGAAACAGGCTGTGTATTCAATTGTATATAGACCCCTGCTGACCGACGGGGGCACTTTGGAGAACTTTGGAGTTCTCCTGGGGATTCCTGGGAAGTTCGAGTTGGTTGGTGAGGTTCCAGTGGAGGGAGTTCCAGTTGGTATGTGGTGTCGCTGGAAGGACCACGTGGGTGCCGTTCGGGGGAGTTCAGAAATAAAGTTTGTTCCTGCTTGAGTGGCTCGTGATTTGTGCCCAGCCAGACTGCAGCATACAAGTGTGGAAAAAGTTTGCACTTTACCAGTCTACTTTAACCCTTGTAGTTACTTTTATCTCAAGGGTCAATGCCACAGTGTGGTGGACTTGCCCTTTGGCATCCACCTCAGCAGGGAGGGCAAGTTCTTGCAGGTAGAAACTGAGCTTTGAAGCTTGCTGGCCAGGCTGGACAGCCGGGTCCCCTGATGCTGCAGATGAATTTAAAACAGGACGCTGTACCTGTGCTTAGAGACCCTAAGAGGCCTCTGTGGGTGAGCCTCTACTTCCCTACCTGTTCCTGCGGCCAAGGGCAGTTCTTGTCCTTTCTGTGCCAGGTCTCCTCAAAGAAAGCACAGTCCTGGGTGAGTGGACATCTAGCTTTTTATGCCCAAACCTAATTTTGCATTTGTTCTTCAGATGCTTCAAGGGAAAACGTTTGGGGGGGGGACACATTTCTGCACTCAGCTTTTGCTCTGCCGTGGACAGCTGGCTGGAGGAGGCAGTGTACAATTCCAGAGAGACTGTACAATTCGCTTTTTCTTCCCCTGGGCAACTGACCTGGGGAAAGTAGAATCAGAGTCATTATGTAAATATAACGTATAGAAAAACCTATCGGCGCATTTTAAATTTTAGCTTTCTTGATATTTAATTATCTCTAACAAAAAAATGAAATTGTTTATTCTTGCTTATTTGTTAATCTTATTTATTGTAGAAAACGGATGGAGGCTTGGGAGGAAGATTGGAGGTGGTCTGGGGAACACCCACTCAGCTGGCCTGGGGCGGGAGGTGGACATTTGCTGCCCTGGAGAACCTGCCCTGACCAAGGGGCTGACCGTCAGCCTCAGCAGGACTGGGTTTCTTCATTGGAGGGAAGCAGACCTCTCTCTGAGGTCAGGTGTGTAAACTGGGCCGTGAAACCCCATGCCGTCAGACTGGCTTTCAGTGAGAGGTGATTCGTCACCACCACTGAGGTTCAGGAACCCCATGGCCTGCCTTGGCTGACCTCATGACATGTGGCTGTGCCTGTGAGGCCAGGAACGCTCAGCAGGTGTCCAGGCACACAGACCTGCACGGGGCCCAGAGGAGCCGAATGCCCCGAGCCTCCGGGCTCTCGGAGTCTGAGGAGCCTGCTTGCTGGTGCAGTTCTTCATGTGTGGCTCCTAGAAGGTTTGTCCTTGCTGCCAGGGACCCGCTGCCTGCTGGTTTCGAGTCTCCTCAGAAGCAGTCTTGCTATTAAAGCTCATTTCAGAAAAGTGGCTCCCTCTTCACTGCCAGCTCCTTGCAAGATGTCCCTTGCCCCTCCCTGGTGCTCACTGGCAGTGTAGGTAGAACTGTTGGCATCTAATAGGGTCCAGATCCCAATGTGACAGGTTGGAGACTGAACAGCCTGAGCAGACGGGGTCGTCTTCTACCAAAGGATGTGGAGATGGCTGGTGCCTCAGCAACCGCAGGGGACCGCACCTTGCTCTCGGCTGCTCATTGGGGAGGGTCATGGGGAGTGGCTCATGGGAGTGTGTGCCTGTGCTGAGTGCCAGTCTCGTGTTGTCTAGGGTGGTAGTTTAGAAGAGGTGAGTGTAAAGTGAATGCTAAAAGGTGATGACCAGGATGGTTATGGGCAGCACTGCCATTCAGAGTGACCATGAAGACACGAGGAGGTGTGCAGCAGCCCTCCTGTTAGCATCCTGCACGGCGGGCACTGAGTCTGCCCTCCCCAAGCTGCTCCTCGTGAGAGCACTGGCTCCCTCAGGACCGCCTCCCACACAGGCCAGGCATTTTCAGAGGAAGGGGCTGTGGTCGGGGGGCGGGGGGCATGTGACCGAGCCTGGACAGCCAGAGCCCACATCTCCCCAGCCAGGAGCATGGACTGGAGGTTGGCAGGTCTAGTGAGAACCCGTGAGGCCTCACGTCCCTAGCATTGGGTGGAAAGGGTCCTTGGTAGAGTTGCCGACAAGATGGTAGCCTTGAGTTGGGATTAGCCATCTGACGACCACGTGACGGGACAAAACCTGCCGGAAAATAACTAGCTTCCACACAGGGTCAACTGCGAGCCGGAGAGCGAGCTTGTCAATGACATAAATTGGCTGACTGTTCCTGGAACTGGGGACCCTGCATTTTTCTATTACACAAGCCAATAAATCCCCTTTTTTCTTAAGACCATTCCATTTAGTCTAATTTTTCATTAGGTGACAATGAAAACTCCTGACTAAAGACACACATACACACACCTTATACACTCCATGGATGTCTCCACATTCTCTCAACACCTTGGTGACAGAGAGGGAAACTAGCCAGACAGTGAACGCCAGGGTGATGACTTCAAACTTGAGGCTGCTAAGTCCAGAGCTTTTAGCTTCTGAGCAAGGCCGTGAGAATGGGCAATGGGGCATGGAGATCTGAGAGACTGTCGCTACTCCCCTTTGGCCAGGCAGGAGTCATACAGTGGCCCGGTCACCTCCTACCATGGGATCATGACCCAGAGTCACTCCCAGACTTCTGGGAACTTGAGACTGGAATTGTATACTGGTTCTGCAACTGAAGCCAGCCCCCTGTGGAAATGCATCTCCCAGCAGCAGCAGGAGTGATGCAGTCAGGGCTGCAGTGCCAGGCTGGGTCACATGTCCTGTGGCTCTGCCCTCCCTAGGATGCAACCAGTCCATATGGCCCACCAGCTCACTCACAGGCATGGAGTGGGGAGAAAGGAGGGGGAAGGTGCACCTCTCCTAAGGCCACAACTTGGAAGCCTGACACATCATTTCTGCTGCGATGGAGGGGCCAACACTTGGTCACATGTCCCCAGCCATCTTAAAATATAGCTTGGAATTGTGTATCAGGTGGCCTGTTAAAAATCCTTCCAGAAATGGGGAAGCCACACACACCTTATTAACTAAGGGATAGAAAAATGGGATATAAATGTGACATCAGATTTCATAAAGAAAACCTCCATCAAATGAGTGGCCCCACATGGAAGTGCCTGTCCCACTCTCCGGCCCTCTCTTGTCCCAGACAGGTTCCCAGGAGCTCAGAATTCTAAGCCAGAGCTCCTTGAACTTCCCCCATCCCTTCCCACAGTTCTCCAAGCAGACTCGGAGTGGTGAACTAGGTACTTCTTCATTCAAGAAAATGTGCAGCACCCTATGGGTGCCAGTGATAAGTGGTGAGCCAGAAGGGCCTGACCCCAGAAGTCTAGTGGGGACTCAAATTCACAAAAGTAAACAGTCAAGTCCTGAGAAAGAGGTCAGTGGGCCAGGGGAGAGCAGGTATAGCCCAAGAGAGGCGGGGACCCTCCCCTCCTCTAGCCTCCTCCCTCATTTCTCCTTCTTTCTCCTCCTCTCCTCTCCCCCTCCTCCTCCTTATTCCTTCTCTTCCCTTCTCTCTCCCCCTCCCTCCCTGTCCCCCAAGTCTCATCTGCTGACTATCCCTCAGTCCTCTTCTGTATTCCCTCTACTCAGGGCAGGAATTCTAAGGGTGGATTTTCGTAGTATTGGCTCCTGGACACTTCAGGAAAGACCTGAACTGAGAGCTGTGCAATGTTCCTGCTCAAATGCCCTCCTCCAGCCCCCCAAGAGGATCTAGTGTTTGAAGACACAAGGCCAGAGCCGCCTGGTCCTGGCCGCAGAACCTTGGCCCGCCAGACCTGCTCCCCTCTTAATGCACAGGACTTGCTCAGAGGCGCTGGCATGTCTGAGGACAGCAGCGCTCCCGCTGCAAGAGAGACTAGGGAACAGCAGCACGAGACGCCCCCCCCGAGGTGCGCCCAGCAGTTCCCAACACGGAGGTCCATGCTGAGCCTCAGGGGACGCAGCCCACAGCACCCGAGACAGAGCCACAGTAGGAGCGAAGTGCAACCAGTGAAGGGCACAGTCAAGGGCACAGAGCAGTGAAGCAGTCAGGGCTCCTCCGCGTTTCCAGACGCCGGCACCGCGAACTGGCCGTCTGGACCGGGCTGGGGGAAGGTCACGGAGGCAATCTTCAGCCAGTCCGGTTTTATTCTCATTATGTGACAATCGAAGTGATAGAGACACTATTTTAAAAAAGAAATAAAGACGCTGGCCGGGCCCCGCAGCTCAGGGCTGAGCCAGACAGGTCTCCACGGTCTAAAACTGCCCGTGGGGAGGCTTCGACCAACTGCCCCTCCCGCTGTAACTCCCGGCTATCTGGACAGCAGCTCAAGCCCTCGTCCAGGACCGGGTCGCTGTCGCCGCCCGCCGGTCCGCGGCGCCCTCTTGGCCTGCAGCCTTGCAGGAAGAAGAGAGCGGCCGTGGACCTTTCCGCCCAGTGGCCCCAGCCAGGGCTAAGGGGCCGGAGGGACCGCAGCCCGCGCTCCCACCGCCCGAGAGCTCGGGACTGGTAGCCGGGAGCGGGTCTGGAGAGCTTCTGACACCCTGATTACAGAGCGCATGCGCTGGGCTGGGCTTGGGCAGGGCAGGATACCGCTCCCCAGACCTCTCTCCATGCCGCTCTGCCTTCTGGCCATCAGGGGGCGCTCGAAACACGCGGGTGAAAGAACACATTTTTTTTTAAGATGTCACCTTTAAGCTGGGTACCGCCCAGCTTAAAGGTGACATTTTAAAAATCAAACTGGACAGCTGGGCTGGCAGCAAGGACCCTGCACAGGGTTCAGGACCTCGACTGCCCCTCATGATAGCGGTTGTCTCGGCCCATACATCAAATGATCTGAAATACGGGTCCTCCCTGTCCCCAAAGGCCGCCTGGAGCACCTCAGGGAAAGGTTTGTGGGGGGATGGGCCAGCAGCTGTCTGCAGAGGTGCAGGGCACCAACAGCAGCTCAGCCCTCTTGGGCAGAACCTGTGGCCTGTTGTCCTAATGCCCCATTTTGAAAGTCAATATTTAAATTTCCCCCTTTTCTAGTCTAAATTGAAATTCATAAATAATTATCTCCACAATTTCAAATTATCAATTTAATGCTCTAACTATAATAAATGAAATGAAAAGAAAATCCATTTATAATAATATGTATTTCTACACAAGTATTCAAGAATGACTCCAGTTGAAAACCAAAAAAGCCCCTGTAGATTTCTCAATGCTCCAGCCCTTGGTGGCCCCAGGCCTCTGAGGTCCTCAGCCCAGCAAGGCAGCACCCCCCACCACTCCCAGCCACTCACCCTCTGCCTACAGGAGAGCAAGCAGAAGGCCGGGGCCAGACTGGCCTGTTCTTGCTCCATGATGGTCTCATGAGGCATCTGTAGGGACAAACACAGGTGGAGATGGAGCAACTCCCTCAGTGGGAAGGTGCCCAGGATTCCTCAGGTTAGCAGAGTCCCCAGCCCACAGCTGCAAAAGGAACCCAGGAGGGTCAGCAGGGGGAGGAGGGTTCTGACCACTGAACCTGACTATTTCAAGCCAGCACCATCAAGGTCAGAGTTCTTTAGATGACTCGCCTGGCCACTTGGGGGCGCCCTTTCTTCTCCTCTCTGGTCTCTACTTATGCTAACAGCACAAGGTGGTTACACCTGGGAACCCCCAACTCTGTGTTGCCAGTGGGAGCCCTCCAGCCCAGCCCTTCTGGGAGACACAGCCCAGTGCAGGGGACGGAAAAGTTGGACAGCCCTGGATTGAAATCCAAGCCCTGTGGTCTCTCTGGGTGATAGCAAGTGTTGTAGATCTTCTGCTCTTTGATTTCACCAGTGGTATAATGAGGATGATAAGACTCTCTCTGCTGGGATTTGGGGGCAGGGGGTGTTATGGATTGAACTCAGAGGCACTCAGCCACAGAGCCACATCCCCAGCCCTATTTTGTATTGTATTTAGAGACAGGGTCTCATAGTTGCTTAGCACCTCCCTTTTGCTGAGGCTGGCTTTGAACTCATGATCCTCCTGTCTCAGACTCCCGGGCCGCTGGGTTTATAGGTGTGCTTCACTGCACCCAGCTGCTGGGATATATTGAGCAGAATCTTTGAAGAGTACCCAGCCCAGGGCAGGAAATATAGCCAATTCCCAGTAAATGGTCCCCTCTTAAATATCTGGAAGGCAACTGGGGAAAGAAGGGATAGGGAATCCTGAAGATCACCCTGCAGTCCGGATCCTTAGCCACAGACTCTGCATCTCAGAAGAGGGAAGCATGATGGCTGGTTGGGAGACTGACATGTGTGCACTCCCTCACTGCTCAGCTCCTGCCGGCTGCCACTAGTCACCCCTGCTTCCCGGAGTTTAGCCCAGGGGCATGCTTGGTCTGGGGGTGGTCGGGGGAGTTGCAGCCTCTCCTGTACCACCTGCTGCCTGCTCCTTGGAGGCCACCCTGTGCTTCCGGAGGTGGAAGCAGATCTTCCTCCCTGTGACTGGCCGCATTACTACCAAGGGACTGGTGAGGAGGTGGGTCTCCATTTAAAGCAGGGGTTCAGGTTGGGCCTGAGGAGGAGGCTCTCCCAGCAGAGTCAACTTCTAGGCAAATCTTGTGTTTTGTTTTGTTTTTTGTTTTTTTAGTTGCAAACAGCTATCTGCAAGGTTTTGAATAAGGTTGCCCTTATGTCTGGAAGATGGGGACTGAGTCTGGGGAAACTAGCACGTTCATGGCAGGGCTGGGGACCAATGGGTTCTTCCCAGGAGGACCGGGAAGATTTGGCAGAGACCTACCAGTTCCGGCACGGCCCTAAACAGCGAGTTGAGTGGGAACCGCAGGACATTGAGGCAGGTGGCAGTGTAGAGGTCCCCGTAGCGCATCAGCTGGCCAGAGAAGAGGGTCGGGCAGAAGCCAGAGCGGAACAGGCTGCCTATGGTGCCCTAGCACAGGTCCAGCTCCCGGGTGAACCTCTGGCCAGAGGCAGCACATGAATGAAGACCCCAGCTCACCTTGACCTGCACCCCCATGGCACTGGGTGCCCACCCTCCGGGCAAGCACCCCTGCTCAGACCAGGCCCTCTCTCACTCTCTTTTCCTCCCTTCTCTTTTCCCAGGACCCAACAGCTCACTGGTACTAAATCACGTTTTCTCATGCCCCATCTCTGGCCAACAGCAGACTTGGATCATAACTGGGGAGGTGGCCCCATGAAGACCCAGCCCAGCAGGCAGGCTCTCCTAGAGAAGGGGCTGAAAAAATGGCAGGACAGAGGGCAGAAACAAGCCTGTGGACTGAGCCCTCCTCAAGAGCACGCCACTGCCGTTTCAGTATTGGCCAGCAGGGGATGCGCTGGACAGCAAGGCCAGGTGGCACTGGACAAGGTTGAGGAGACTCAGACAATTGGGCTCCTGGGACTCCTCCCCTACTGGGCTGGTCCCCCTCCCTCACCACCCAGCGCTTACTTGAATCTCCTTCTTGATGGAGTAGATGTTTTGCAGCCCACAGATGCTTCCATACATATGCCTGGTACAGAGATGGCCATGTGACCCGTGGAGGAGGGGAACGTGGAGGGGCAAGGATCCCCACAGGCGTGCAGTGGGGGTGCAGGGATGGGGTGTGCATGTTTGTGAGTCCATGCTGGGTAGGTGGGGAAAGGCCTAGAGTGTTAGGGTCTGTAAACAAGTCAGGATGGCGCCTGGCATTCTGCCAGAGGGAGTGGTTTGTGAAGTAACACCAGTGAGCCATTAAGTGTGGAGATTCCTTATTGGTTGACTGCTGTATCTAGTTTCTGTGAATTAAGATAAGCTGTGTGGAATGTATATATACCCCTCCGGTCCTACAATAAACGGCTCCCACTCCTGCTGTATCAAGTTGTTCGTCACTCCCCGGTTATTTTGCTGCAGCCGGACTGCGGCACTAGAGGTCTCAGAAGATGAGTATCTCCAGGGATCAGCAGGTCCCATAGTCCAGTCTACTAGGGAAGCCCAGCCTGAACCACAGTTGGTTTTCCAGAGCCCTTGGCTCACACTTCACTGCCAGGCCTGGGCATGGGATCCTAGCTCTCCACCCCTGTCCTCCCAGCCTCCCGCACCCCCAGAGAGGCCAGGGCTCTTACTGGTACCGATCAGCAGGTGTGTGTCCAGGCTCTTCAGCTGCTCTGACCTCTCTGAAAACCAGACAGGGAGCAGTAGGGTGAGTGACAGCCGGGGTCTGCCAGGCCCCAGCCAGGGGTCTGTGCTCCCCCACCTGTAATATCGTGACCCCTTAAGTCAGATTAAGACTTTGCCCAGAGCAAAACAGGGATGACACAGGCTCCGTAGGACAGGTGATCCAAGACATCCAGGGAGTCAGGTGACCTTCATGAAGTCACAGGGCAATGACTCAAACCCAGCAATGCTCAGAGCAACAGAACAAACCTTGTCTTGCTCACAGCGCCCCTGCCCCAGGGTGACTTCAAGTACTTCCTGGGTGGGAAAGCCTGTACCTTCTAAACCCAAAGGCCTGGGGCAGAGGGAGGAAGTCCCAGCCCCGGAAAAGCCTCGTGGATCTGGAGCAAGAAGATGAGGAATGAGTCTCAGCTTGGCGCCCACCACCTGGGTGACCTTGAGCAACCCGCTTTACCTCTCTGGTCTGTTTCCTTGTTTTTAAATAGATTCACTTTCATAAACGACAGAGTGGACAAGATTCCTGGTCGCCACCAACCCCTCAGAGGAAAAGGGGGAAGGAGGTTGGGCAGCGTGGATGACCAGCACCCTCTGCTGGTACTGGTCTCTGTGGCTCACCCTTCTCTCGGGCCCAGATGCCCAGTTCTCGGGACAGCTCAGGAACCACCAGGCAAGTCTGCCAGCCCTGCTGCTTCTTGGATTTGACGATGTCCCCAGAGATGTGGTCCCCAATGTACAGGATGTCCTTCCCCCGCACCCCAAGTAGCTCGCACACCGTGTCTCACGAGCCTGCCCCACAGAGGGAGGACACAGCTCCTTCCCTGCTGAGGCAGCTTGGGAGATGGACCCTGGCCAGGGTGTGCCTGTGGGCCATGGGCACCGCAAGAGCTGTACCTCCAGAGTGGGCAGCACAGTGCTGGGGGGGCCAGTGTAAGTGCCCACGCGGAGCTTCCCCGAGTCCTAGAGGACAGAGGTGGGCCTGAGCCAAGGAACCACAGCCCCTGTGCCGGTCAGGAGGACTGGGCAGAGCTGATAGGAGAAGCCTCGGGGGCAAGGGCGAGGAGGAAGGATGCTGTGGGGCCCTGAAGTACTTCCGTGCCTTCAGGGACAGACAGGGCAGCGGAGGGGAGTGGACACATATAGGTCACATCTAAGAGTGGGCAGTCTCCCCTCCAACCACCTGTCAAGGTAGACAGGACCTCAGCCCCTGCCATTATCGTGTTGACCTGCCTCCGGACCATCCCCTCTGCAAAGAAGCAGGGCTTCTGTGTGTCCACCACAATCTGGTCGAAGTAGGACCTCCAGGGCCTGGCTGGGTCCTCAGCCTGTGGGGCAGGGCAGGGGGCGAGGCCTGTGCAGACCCAGGGGACACACACACAGCCTGGGAAACTGGACCCTGCCAATCCCCCGTGGGAGCCTCAGGCAAGATGAGACATCTGTGGGCCCAGGAACCAGGAGATCTCCCCTTACCCAGCACCCAACCAAGCTGGGCTTCAGGAGGAGGCCCAACCGGTGCCCTGGGAGGTGGGCATTGGGTATTGTGGGGGTCTTAGATTAGCCTCCAGGGCTCCTCACAGAGCAAACAGAGAGGCCCAGGGACATGTCACACACAGAGAGACACATACACAGCAAGGCCCAGCCACACCTGTGTCCAGGGTTTGAACTGGTTCCCCTCCCCTGGCCCTCCTTACTCTCACCTCACCTGCCCTAGCCCCCCCCAAGACCTCCCCAAACACCTGACTGCCTCTTTATGACCCCCAGGAAGCCGAGAGTAATCCTGCCCTCACCACCAGGAAGCTCCAGCAAGGCCAGCCATGGAGATGACCACTCACTTGTCTGCCCCTACTCGGAGGAGGCTGGACAGAGGGGAGGCCTGCCCCCCTCCCTCGCCCAGCCCAGGAGACTCACCTCACCAGCAGCAAACAGGTAAGTCGTGATGGCCTGGCAGGGGCAGGCCGTGGTCAGGGCACAAGCTTGGGCGGAGCCAGGGGGCCACACCTGCCTCTGCCCTCACCCCACTATGGCCTCCTGGGGCCACGGGTGAGAGACGGTGGGATTGTTCATTCCTCCGAGGCCGTGACTCGGCCGGAGGTGCCAGCGGGAGTGGGACAGCACACTCACATCCGTGTACTGGTAGCTGCCGTTGGTGGCCAAAACACCCTCCCAGCCTCCTTTATCTTGCCGAGCAGGACAGGGATCCGCACCTGGCAAAGACGGACGCCTTTCTAGGGTTTCAGCCCCCGGGAGCTGAACAGCCCACTCTCCCAGAGCAGGTGGGCTCCAGGCCGGGGGACTCTGAGCAGCAGCAGATCAGAGCTCCGTGTGACCTCTAGGGAGATGACCAGGGTTGGGCGGCCTGCGCCCTGGAAAAGCAGGAGGGCAGCCGCAGCCCCAGACCTGTGGCCACTCACGTCCTGCTCCACGTATTTCTGCAGGTTGTCCAGGGTCCTCTCTTTGAGACAGCCCTGCAGGAGGCGCAGAGCTTCCATACAGCCTGCCTGGGACCAGGCCACCGTCCTCAGTGGGAGGAGGGCAAAGGCAGCGGAGCCTGGGGGCCGCGAGGATGCCCAGGAAAGCCAAGGGAGGCAGGCAGAGGTCCTGGGGTGCTGGGCCACTCACCGACTGGTGGACATTATTCATAGCTTCAGTCACATCCTGGAAGAGGCTTCGGAAGGACACGAAGAGGTTCCCATGCTGATAGCCAGTGTCACAGCTGGGATAGGCCAAGAGAGGACAGGGGAGGCTGGTAAGCAGGCCCGAGGGGACCACCAACACTGACCCTGAGTGCCCCGCACTGGGCTTACGTCCCAGCCGCTCTGAAGGGACCACTGTGCTGAGCTCCCCTGGGGCAGCACAGGCCACAGGCTTGGGTGCCCCCTGCATGGGCCTTCCTCCTAAGCTCCCAGAGACCCCAAGCTCTCAGAAGGGCCTCTGCCCCTGTGGGGCCCCCTTTGGGGTTTGGCTGCTGGGCAGCAGCAGTGTCCTACTGGTCACCCCAGGGCTGGGCAGGGCAGGGACGCACTTGGTGTATCGGGAGCAGCCAGCGAAATCGTCCACCAGCAGGCATAGGTTTCTGGGATGGAGAAGCCGGTCACTCCCGGCCCAGGGAGTGAGGCAGCCGCCCCCAGGCCAGAGCTGGCAAGGACGGCCCCCGCCCCCAGCAGCCCTCACCGGGCAGGTTGAAGAGCGCGTTGTGGACGTGAAGCGCTGACGGTCATCCCTTTGTATGAACTTTGCTGGGGTCAAAGCTTAGACCTCTGGGGAGGAGGGGCCTGGGTGCAGCCAACGCTCCCTCCCGGTACCTCCCAGAGGGTGGCCTGGGCCCTGGCCATCCCTTCTATACCTCCAGCCACCCCCACCCCGTCCCTTTCTCTGAGAGGAAGGTGAAGCCATGGGGAGCCACCAGCATGTCCCCATGGCCATGCACCTTCAGCAGCTTCCCATAGAGTGCCTCAAACACCAGTCCCCTGGGGAGACGGCATGGGGACTGTGGGAGGGGGTGCCAGGGCTGGCCACAGCCTCCCACCTGGCCAAGCTCCCTCACCTGGTGGGGAAGGAGGGGTCGCAGGAGTAGCGCAGACCTCATGTGGGTACCCAGTGCAAACCAGGCGCTCCAGCACAGCTCAAAGGCCAGCGCCTCGTAGGCGGGGGACTGGTCGGCTACAGAGGACCCGGGCAGACCGGACAGTTGGTGCCTGGCTGCCTGCCCCTCTGCCCAGGCCTCAGGTATCCTGTGCTCCACACCCCCTACCAGCCAGGGCGCAGTCCATGACGAGGCGGAGGTACTGGATCTTCCCCAGCGCCAGGCTGCGGTGGACAAAAATCCTGGAGGGGGAAGGGTATGTTGGGATTCACCCAAGAGTCCCTCAGAGTCCCGGACCCTGCTGGTGGGAACCCATCAGAGGGCCCCGTACCCCTGCAGTGGCAGAAATAAGGGGGAGGTGGGTCAA